AGTTCAATGTATAAAGAACAGAAGCAAAATACAATACCACTCAGGACTAAAATTGAATACGCGTAAAATATGGAGACGAAATCAGAAACACAAAAACACCTATTTAAGGACTAAAATGTATTAAGCTGCAAATGAAAATGGCTCATATGGAGAATGACCCAAGCGCAAAACATGAACCTTAAGGATTAAAATGGTAAAAACAGAAAATAAAAGGTTAAAATAAAATAACAGAAATTAAAGTGTCAAAATCAGGAAAGATACAAAGATAACCGTCCGAATGTATTTTCTTTGATCTGCCGTCATCCACCGTCCGATCGTCCTGATTTTTCAATAGGTTGTTCGTGTTGGCATCACACAACTTTTCACCGTTCGGAATATTGATCGAAGATTCCGATCACCAGCAAGAGGCTAAAAACCGTCCGGATATGTTTTCTCCGATCCGTCACCGTCCACCGTCCGATCGTCTTGAATTTTCAATATGTTGTTCGTGATGGCCTTCCGCAACTTTTGACCGTTCGGAATGTTGATCAGAGATCCCGATCTCCGGCGAGAATCTGACAGATTACAAGAAGTGTTGTTTTCTATTTTTTTTTTCTTTTCTCCCCTCTCACACGTTTTGGCCTCCCAGTATGTCTATGGTCTCCTCCAGTGTTTTCAATCTTCTCCCTTTCTTTTTTTCTCTTGAAAAACCGAGCCCCTCTCCATTTTATCAATACTTTCTTTACCGAATACTTTGTCTGCATGTTGATTTTCTCTGTGTTTGGTGATATTTTGGTGATATTTGGTTGAGCAAGTATTGACTTTTATGCAATTTTTGGTGGCTAATTAATTTTTCCTTGATTCGGTGCATTATTGACTTTGTGCAGAATATGAACACTTAACAAAACATGGGTGGCCAGCAAATATTAGTGGTGGCCAGAAAATATTAGTGGTGGTAGTATAATAGAGTTAGTGCTCCATTAATAGATTGCTAGTGCAGAAACAACATGGTGTGGGCTGGCGTGAGGTACTGTGCGGCCACATGTGCTGGTGAGTGCTTGTCTCCTAGCTGGAACATGTTTTTCCAACGTGTATATGTCTCCATGTTCATAAAAAATCTGTTCCCAACGTGTATATTGTGCAAAGTAAAAACAATTTTTTTGTTGAAATTCGTAAATCCCGTATTCAGCTTGCACAGTCTTTATCTATCTGAGCGTATCTCGAGCTACCGATATCGGATTGATGCGATTCAAAGTGCGTTGGAAAGCTAAGAGATAATGGAATAATTGTTAAGAAGACTTCAACGTCCAAATATGTTTGGAACATATTCAAAATTGGCGATACATCTGAATGTCGTGATCTGCCCACTGGACAATTTCCAGCCTGCACTGTCTTCATTAATTTAACCATATCTCGAGCTCCAAATATCGGATTGATGCGGTTCAAAGTACGTTGGAAAGCTAAGAGATAATTGAATAACTGTTACGAAGACTTCAGAAACCGAAGATGCTTAGAACATGTTCAAAATTGGCAATCTCCATGGCTGTCGTGCACTGTTTGTAATTTGGGACCTGAATTGTGCTTGGCGTACCTTGGCCTGCAAAATGATAACATAAACAACTTTAACATTATTATTAATAATAAAATAATATAATAATAATAATAATGATAGTATCCCGGACAAAACGGGTGTCTACACCCATTTCATGATAAAATGAAGATTTGCAGGCTAAATTAATAGCAAAACCATGCTCTGTAGGAGTTACCAAAGGAAAATTATTGAAAAAAATATTATTGTTAAAGCTACATATGATTTTCAACCAGTAAACACCACAGAAGTAGTGAAAATTATATATATATATATATATATATACACACTCTACTAGTGAAAATTATATATAGAGAGATAGCTATAAAGACACTCAACTCATCTCGACAATGGTTGAAAGCCAGATAAAAAATTTTTTGCCGTTACCTTGTAAGTTTCCTCATAAACAACCAAATACCGAAGTTCAGTGGTCGACTCGCCCTTCGCTTTAATAAGCACCAAAGCTTTGTTCCGATTATTAACAATAGTCTGAGAATCATCAATTAACTTAACCATCTCATCAAAAATCCTCTCAGCTGCCACCTCCGAATATACCCTGTCACAGTTCTTGACACAAGTTTCAAGCAACACCAAGGACAAGTATTGAACCCTAGGACTGTTCAACATCATCCTTCGCTTTATGCCATAGATCAAATCAACACTGTTAACTCTTTCATGGTTGATCATGTCACATATATCAAGTTTCAAATCAACACCGACACTCATTTTTCTGCCCACCTCAGCTCCTTCAACCTTGACGCGTTCACCAAAGGCACTAACTTTGTCCATCAAGTTTTTGTCCATTTTCACCAAGCCTTCAAAAAAACAAACACAATATCATTAATAAAAATCTAAGAAAAAATTAAGTTGAGAGAAATAAATGGCTAAACGAATCCATCCTAGGGACCAGAAACTTCATAAAAAAATTCCTAGAAATCTTCAATAATAATAAAAAGAGAACTCTTAAAAGCCTCAAAATTGCATAAATGTTATAAAATAATCAAACATAAAAATCTATGATTTGTCAGCAATTGTTAATTACAACAATAACTGGTTTTGCTTCTTTCACCTTCTTCCAAATTATATATACCCAAAACTGCAATAAAAATTTACTTGAACAAAATTCTTTAAACCCAAAAAGGAAGGGTAAAACCTCTTAATCTCAAATCTTTAAATAACCCTCAATACAAAAATATGAACTTCAAAATTCCAAAAAAATAACAATTTTCTACTTGAAGAAAATAAAAGTAAAACAGAGAACTCAACTAATTAGAAGTAAATATAAATTATTTGTTGAAACTTAAAAGCACTTTAGGTGCATTAATGCACTGTTTGGTGTAAATTAAATGTTTCAAATGGTTGCAGTAATTGGATCCGTTTTGGTTGAAAATTGGAAAGGAAAAATCATTCATTTAATCCCTAAACATTAGTCTATTTACAAAGTTGGTCCCTAAATCTCAACTATAAATAGCTTAGTCAATTGCCATTTCTATATATATCCAAATCATTATGTTCTTCTCTCATATACTAGAGAAATTTAGAAAGTTTCTTTTGAGTTGTTTTCTCTTTTTTATCAAGAGAGAAATGTTCTTGTTTTCTCCTTGTTAAATCGAGAGAAGTTGTAACTCATATTTTCTTATAGTGAAATTCTTCTACCTTTGTCTGTGGTTTTTACCCTATATTATTTAGGGGTTTTCCACGTAAAATTTGACTCATTTATCTTTATTTTATTTTCTCAAATTATCAATTGCGATTTTGATCTATCCGACGATCGTATTCCGTAACAATTAGTATTAGAACCTGATTTGTGTGTGTAATATCTACTTATTGTCTTTGTGATTGTCACTAAAAGGTAGATCCTCTAACTTAAGAAAGTAAGGAGGTATTACCCATTCTTTGAAGGTTTCAAGGAACTATTCACATCAAATAGTGAAATAGTACAAGCTATCTGTGGTAGAAGCTATGACAACGAAATTTGATAGTAAAAAGTTCAATGGCAGAAATTTGTCACTATGGAAATTAAAGATTAAGGCTATTATGAGGAAAGATAATTGTTTAGTGGCTATCAGTAAAAGACCGACATATTTTGCAGATGATAACAAATGAAACGAGATGGATGGGAATTCTATGGTAAACCTGTATCTAGCATTAAAAGATGAAGTATTGTCAAACATTGATGAGAAAAAGACAACCAAGGAGATTTTGGATCATCTCACCAAATTGTATAAGGCCACATCGTAGCAAAATAAAATTTTCCTTAAAAGCAAATTGTACACTCTTCAGATGTTAGAATCTACTTCAGTGATAGAGAAATTAAACGAATTGAATACTTTATTTTCTCAATTTACACCGTTAAGTTGTGCAATAGCAAAACAAGAATGTGTTGAACTTCTACTTCAAAGCCTATCTGATTTGTAGAATCAACAAATTATAAACTTGACAAGTAGTAATGTTACTTACAACTGTTCAGGTAGTCTTGATTTCAATGAAATCTTTACTCCCGTGGTTCAACTAACAAAGGTTCGGGTAGTCTTGGCAATGTGTGCTACATTGAACTTACATCTAGAGCAGCTAGATATTAAAACAACTTTTCTTCATGGAGATCTTGAAGAAGAGATTTATATGCTTCAACCTGAAGGTTTTGAAGAAAAAGAAGAGAAGAACTTGGTTTGCAAGTAAAACAAATCTCTATACAATCTAAAACAGGCACCGAGGTGTTGGTATAAGAGATTTGATCCCTTCATTATGTGCCTTTGATACAAAAGACTTAGTGTAGACCCTTGTGCTTATTTCAAGAGGTTTGGTGATAAAGATTTTGTTATATTGTTGTTGTATACAGATGACATGTTGGTTGAAGGATCCAACAAAGATCATATTGAAGAATTGAAGGCATAATTGGCTAGGGAATTTGAAAAGAATGACTTGGGACCAGAAAAAATATTCTAAGGATGCAAATTCACCAAGATAGAAGTAATAGAAAGATTTGGCTTTCACAAAAGAATTACTTGAAGAAGATCTTGTCACGATTCAACATGCAAAATTGTAAGACAATTTCTACCATTCTTCCTATTAACTTCAAATTATCCTCTATTATGAGTCCTAGTAGTAAAGAAAAGAGAATGGAGATGTATCGAGTACCGTATGCATTAGCAATGAGAAGTTTAATGTTCGCTATAATATGCACAATACCAAAAATTGCACAAGCAGTGGGAGTAGTTGGTTGATACATGGAGATTCCTTGAAAAGAGCATTGGAATACAATCAAAAGAGTCCTGAGATACATCAAATGGACCTCAAATATTGCATTATTATACGGAGGATCAAACTTTCTTATCAAGGGGATGTCGGTTCTGATAATACAGAGGATTTGGATAAAAACACATCTATTAAAGATACGAGTTTGAAATTGCTGGTGGAGCTATAAACTGGGTTTCAAAACTGCAGTCATTTTTGGTACGTCGACAACATAGGCAGAATATATAGCAGCTACACAAACCAGTAAAGAAGTAATTTGGTTGAAAATGCTATTGAAGGAGCTCGAGCACAAAAAAGAGTATGTCTCTTTGTTTTATGACAGTCAAAGTACCTTGCATCTTGCAAGGAATTCTGCTTTTCACTCAAGAACAAAAGACATTCGTGTCCAATACCACTTCATTAGTGAGAAAGTGGAAGAAGGGATAGTAGATATGCAGAAAATTAATACCAATGACAACATAACAGATTTTATGACAAAGACAAACTACACTGATAAGTTTGCTTGATGTTTATCCTCTTGTGGCCTGTTAAAGACGTAAGCAATATGAATGGTACAAGGTAAAAAGAATGGTGTGAATATATGATTGTTCCAATCAAATCTTCAAGTGGGAGTTTGTTGAAACTTAAAAGCACTTTAGGTGCATTAATACATCGTTTGGTGTAAATTAAAGGTTACGACTGCTCTAATTAAATCAGTTTTGGTTGAAAATTAGAAAGGAAAACTCATTCATTTAGTCTCTTATACTAGAGAAATTTAGAGAGTTTCTATTGAGTTGTTTTATACTTTTTATCAATAGTTCTTGTTTCCTCCTTGTTAAATCAAGAGAAGTTGTAACTCCTATTTTCTCATAGTGAAATTCTTTTACCATTGTCCGTGATTTTTACCCTATAATTTTTAAGTGTTTTCCACGTAAAATTTGTGTCTTATTTATTTTCATTTTATTTTCCCAAAATATCAGTTGCGATTTTGCTCTATCCGACGACCGTATTCCGTAACATCATCCTCCTAATTTAGTAGCAGTTAAGAACTTAAAATACAAAAATATGTGCATAATAAATATAAAAAAACCAATTCTTTAAGCCAAATTTGAACTCCCAGATAAAAATCATAAAAAAGAAATTATAAAAAATAAAATAACGCAAGGATTATAAATTCTTGGTGAGATAAAGTAAATGAAAAAGGTGAAAAAACAAATAAGTGAGACTTGTTATAACTAATAGAGAAAAAAATAAGCGAGTTTGAGTCCTTGCATATGTAAAAAATCCTTGTTATAAAACACACCCATTAAAATCAGGTGTGCAATGTGAGTCGGTCCGAATTAATAAATGCGGAACCTTATAACCGCGAGAGGAAAAAAAGAAAAAGACGGAGACGAGTGATGATTGAGTAAAGTTGAGTTTTCTAACATTCCTTGGAATTTCAGTCCTTGCCAATTTTTATATATTTTTTATTTTGTTTAATTTTGCATGGTGATTTTTATTCTAATTTCACCTTAAAAATTATTATTTTCCAATTAACATTTATTATCTCTTATGCTCAAACATAGGACTTTTAAAGAACACAACCATCCTTTTTAATCATTAAGTTAACTTAGTTCATGCCGATCAGAAATATTTTGAGAGCACACTTTTACTAGAAAATGTCATGTTGTAGAAATTGATCAGAGTTTTCGAAGGTTGATCAAAATAAAATAATAGGTAATTTATAAATTTACTCACTAGATTTTATTCTTTCTCTTATTTCACTCATTGTACTTTTTTTAATTTACTAATCGAACCTTATACATTGAACATTTTTTGTCCCTCTATATTATTTTATTATTATTTTCAAAGATATAACATTTTTTAAATATTATTAAATATAAAATAATTTAACATAAATAATAAAATAATATTTTTATTATTAAATTTAAAAATATTTAAAATAATCATCGTCGCTTATCGTTATCGTCGACCTTCGGAACTGATGACCGTTTGATCCCAAATTGTACTGGGAGACTCGCTTTGACATTCTTAGTTTGAATCTAGTGGTTATTTCACTAGACATTATCCCAAAACCCGTAAATCTCGGTTGAAATGTTTCGGTTTTCTCACTTTCGATTTCCTATTGTGGACTTTGGAGAATATTCTGACAAAATAGAGGTGGTATTCAAACTTAGGGCTTCAATACGAAGTGACCGAACGACCACCATCGATGACCATCGATGGTGGCGTCCAAAACAATAACATTTGAGATCAAAAATTTTGTGTGTTGAAGAATCGGGTAAAGAAAATGAAAGAACACAAGAATTTTAACGAGGTTCACCAATGTGCTTACGTCCTCGGTGTCTAGGTGGCGCTAGAAGTTTTATTCAATGTCTCATAGGTTTAGGTTACATTTCTATTTATAATAAATAAACCCTAGTACATATTTACAAAAATAACCCTGTACCGATATATTTATGAGCCATACCTTACAAATCTCCACTTTGGCGAATATCCTGCCCCTTAGGAAACATTCAATGTGGGTTGGGTTACCTTACTTCTTTAACAACTCGGAACATTCAACAAGTCCAAGCAATTCTTGTACTTGTCTATCGTAACTGGCTTGGTGAACATATCAGCGACATTCTCATCAGTATGTACCTTCTGAAACAAAATCTCTCAAGATGCAACCAACTCTCTGATCTTGTGAAACCTTACATCAATATGCTTAGTTCTAGCACGATATACCTGATTCTTAGCCAAGTGAATAGTACTTTGATTATCGCAAAGCAACTGAACTCCACCTTGCTGAACACCCAACTCTTTCACTAAACCAGTAATCCATAAAGCTTCTTTTGCAGATTCAGCCGCTGCCATGTATTCAGCTTCAGTTGTAGATAATGCCACAACAGATTGAACATTAGACTTCCAACAAATAGGCCCTCCACCAAAAGTAAAAACATAACCTGTCATAGATCTTCTATTACCCAAGTCACATGCATAGTCTGAATCCACATATCCTACAACCAAAAGATTATCCAGCTGACTACCAAAAACAATTTCATCTCCCACAGTACCCTTTAAGTACCGAAAGCTCCACTTGACTGCTTTCCAATGTTGCTTACAAGGTTTAGACATGTACTTACAAACTTGACTAATAACATGATCTAAATCACGATGAGTACATACCATTGCATACATCAAGCAACCAACATCATTTGAATACAGAACATTTTCCATATCTTCAGATTCCTTATCTGTCTTAGGGAACTGTTCTGATGAGGGCTTAAAGTGATTCACAAATGGAGTGCTAATTGGTTTTGCGCTGCTCAACACAAACCTTTCTAGCATTTTCACAACATAACCCCGTTGAGATAGCCACAGTTTCCTTGAGTCTATGTCCCTGCAAATTTCCATTCCAAGAATTTTCTTTGCAGCACCTAAATCTTTCATATCAAATTCCTGACTCAATAAAGTTTTCAAATCGATAACATCATCCATGTTCTTCGCAACAATTAACATATCATCAACATACAGTAACAGAAAATTAAAAAAACCATCATCAAGGCTCTTAACATAGACACAACAATCATACTCACATCACTTGTAGCCAATCTTAATCATATAGGAGTTAAACCATTTGTAACACTGTCTCGGAGACTGCTTGAACCCATACAAAGATTTCTTCAATCTGCAAACTAAATGCTCGTTATCAAGTTGAGCAAAACCTTCAAGCTGCCGCATGTAGATCTGCTCCTCTAAATCACCATGCAAAAAAACAGTTTTCACATCCATCTGCATGCAAATCCTAACTAGCCACCAATGCAAGTACTGCTCGGATTGAAGTGTGCCTGAACACAGGAGAAAAAAATTCATCATAATCAACTCCTTTCTACTGTGAAAAACCCTTTGCTACTAAACGAGCCTTGAACTTCTCCCCATCTTTTTTCGTTACTGCTGGTTTCTTCTTATACACTGATTTGCAACCAATCGGCTTCTTACCCTCAGGAAGGTGAGCTAACTCCCATGTACGATTGTGATTCAAATATTTCATCTCCTCGACCATGGCAGCCATCCATTTGTCATTTTCCTGACTAGTAACAACATCATGAAAAGTAACCGGATCAGCACTACTAACAGTAAGTGCAAAAGAGACCAAGTCTTCAAAACCAATCTGTTTAGAGGCTTTATATTCGTCATTCTCACCCTGTCTATGGCGAGACTATAATCCTGCAAATCATACGTAGTGGATCCATCAGAAGTCGGTTGGGAAGTTTCTATTTTCTCGACTGGAAACTGCTCGAAATCCACCACTATCGCGTCTTTCTTCTGCTGCAACATGGGTTGTTCATAAAAACAACATCTCAACTGATCCCAATTTTCTTCGCAACTGGATCCCAGAACTTGAATCATTTGACACATTTCTTGTAACCTAGTAAATTGCACTCCTTCGATTTTACATCAAGTTTGGATCTCTCATCAGCAGGTACATGCACATAAGCATGACAACCAAAAATCCGTAAGTGTTCAAAAATAACATCATGACCAGTCCATACCTCTTCAGTAACTTTCCCAGCCAATGATGCCTTTGGTGATCTATTGATAAGATAAAATGCCATGTTAACAGCCTCAGCCCAGAAGTGTTTGGGAAGCTCCGCATTCAACTGCAAACATCTAGCTCTTTCATTCAATGACCTGTTCATCCATTCCGCAACACTATTCTGTCGTGGTGTCTTGAGCACTGTAAAATGCCTCTTAATCCCATGCTCCTTACAAAAGTGTATAAATTGTGAATTTATGTACTCCGTACCATTTTCAGACCGCAAACACTTGATTTTTCGTCCTGTTTGGTTTTCGACCATAGCTTTCCACAGTTTTAACTTCTCAAAAATGTCATACTTATGTTTCAAAAAATACACCCAAACTTTCCGTGAAAAATCGTCAATAAAAGTAACATAATACCTAGATCCACCCAAAGACGATGTCGTGGAAGGCCCCAATACATCATAATGCACATAATAAGAATCCCTTCAGTTGTGTGCTTCGCAGTCTTGAAATGAACTCCAATACTTGCAAAAATCGAGCTTACAACTTTTTAACACCATGAAACATATTTCTTTTATGTAATTCAGCCATACCACGTTCACTAATATGAGCAAGAAGTATATGCTACAGTTTGGTAGTATCATCACAGGACTCAATAGAATGAACTCCACCTACAACGGTAACTCCCTAACAATCTATAAATATTCCCTGCAATCATCTTTCCTTTCATCACAGTCAAAGCTCATTTAACAATCCGAATGGTTTCCCTATCCTCATCAGCCTTAGGGATAAAACCATTCTTTTGCAAAGTGCCCAAAGAAATCAAATTCTTCTTCAAATCTAGGATATGCCTAACACCACTCAACGTCTGAACAGAGCCATCATAAATCTTAATTCTGACATCACCAATACCAATAATATTGCAATATTGATCATCACCCAAAAAAACAAAACCAAAATTAACCGACATATATGTCGAAAACCATTCCATATTTGGCGTGATGTGATAAGAACATCCAGAATCAAGAATCCAAACATCTGTCAATTGAGTCTTTGAAATAGAAAGAATATCACCCTCACTGCAATCAAAATTGTCATCCTCGACCACATTCACAGACTTGGATGAGTCATCACGCTTCTCATCAGTCTGCTTTTTTCAACTTCGACAGTCTCGCTTCATATGTCCCGCCTCCTTACACTTGTAACAATGAATTGTCTTCTTATCCCTAGATTTGGATCTGAAATTTCGTTTCCCAGACCATGCCTTCTCTGGCTTTCGTCCACGGTCTCGATTACCCTTGACATATAAGCTATCAGCTTGAGAGCTATCCCCTGCATTATGCTTCTGCTGGTTGTGAGCCAACAAGGCTGCAGTAATCTCCTCAACTTTGATAGTCTCTTTCCCATATGTAAGAGTAGTCACTATGTGTTCGTAAGAGAGAGGCAACGAACACCAAAAAATCATCGCTTTGTCTTCATCCTCAATTTTCACATCAAGCCGAGCCAAATTAGAAACGATTTGATTGAAGACATTCACGTGTTGTGCCAAATCATGATCGTCCTACATCTTCAGCCCATATAACTGTTGCTTTAGATATAGTTTAGTCGTTAAGGATTTGGACATAAACTGACTTTCCAACTTCTTACAAATTTCATCTGGAGACGACAGATGTATAACGTGATACATGACCTCGTCCACCAAACATAATCGTATGGTTCCTGCCGCTCGCTGTTGTAATTCTTACCAATCTTCCTCCTCCATCGACGCCGTCTTTGTAGGTCGTAAAGCCTTCAGGATCCCTTGCTGCGCCAACAGATCCTTCACCCTTGTTTTCCATAATCCAAAGTTACCCTGACCATCAAATTTCGCAACTTCGAATTTTGCTCTTGACATCTGATACCAATTGTTGAAGAATCGGGTAAAGAAAATGAAAGAACACAAGAATTTTAACGAGGTTCAGCAATGTGCTTACGACTTCGGTGCCAAGGTGCTAGAAGTTTTATTCAATGTCTCATAGGTTTAGGTTACATCTCTATTTATAATAAATAAACTCTGGTACATATTTACAAAAATAACTCTGTACCGTACACCGTGTCATACCTTACATAATTGTTATGAGCCATACCTTACACCGTGTTATACTAAAATTATAATAAAATAATTCAGAGTGACCAAAATAAGAACAATTCAAAATTTCACTAAGTAAATTGAAAAATTAAAAGTATAGTGAGTGAAATAGGAGATAGAGAGTAAAATTCAATACATAAATTTATAATTTACCCTAAAATAAAATATATTTTTAAAGAAAATTATATGAGATTTGTCTAAAAATAATAAGTACATGTGATGCATACTGAATATACGCGTTTACATAACACAAGTATGGATTGGACAATTACGCATGCACGTAAGCAAGCGCGCACACACATCTTCTTTCGTATTTTCTTTTTTCTTAATTTTCTTTTGATTGACATATAAATAAACATCATCATCATTATGATTTCTTTCTTTTCGTATATTCTTGAAGCATTTATTTTTGTATACCTTTATGAAACGATTGTTCATTTGCATTTATGACACAATTTTATGTATCATTATGATAGTTTGGTGTTTTTTGTTTCATGTATCACGACGAAGCCCTTGATTAGGAAAGATCATCAGTCTCATATAGTTTGGTCTCCTTTTGCAATAGTTTGTTTATGCATTTAGAACCGTTCACGAATAATTTGTCATATTGGTTCTCTTAATCTCCACACTTACACCAATATTGTTTCTAGTTTTGAATAGAGAGAAGGAGATTATTTATAATTGCTAGATTATTTTTAGAAGATAAACATGTATTCAAGAAAAAGTTTTAATTTTATTTTTTTACGTACTTTAAATTTTTGTGTTTGAATTATATTATTTTTGTTGTATTTTACCTATTTATTTATTAAAAAATTATTTTTCCGTTACAAAAAATATAAATTTAAGTAATAATATAATATTTGAAAAATTTATAATCAAACATATTAGTTTTGGACTATTTAAGACAGATCTATCTCTACATAATTCCTTTAGTCAAGTGTCTCTATATCACATGTATAATTCGTTTTGAATACTACATGATGACAAGCCCATATGTTTATGAAACAATTGAAATTATATTCCCAATTCAAACGTTTTGGAAAAATGAAGTGAATTGAACGTTGTATGAACTAAACGATCTCAGCGATTAAGAGATTTATTATTATTGTTTGAGATTTTGAGTTCGAACACCGCGTATACAATATCTGAATATTCTTGTCAAAGGTAAGGCCGGTTGCACTAAGCTTCTTAGGAGGTCAATGCATCCCTCGTTATTTTAGATAAATTATTAAATTTAGTTCAATAAGTTAAAGGAAAAAATTTTAAAAAAATTATATACCTATTTTGTTAAAAACAAAAAATATACTTGCATTAATCCCATATTTATTAAAGTGAATTGGCTGTAATGAATGCATTGAGTATATGACCTAATGATGGCTTAGAATTACGGCACGTGAATAATTTTAAAAATTAACATATTATCATTCACTTTTTTGGGTAAATTGCACATTTAGCACCCCAACTCATAGTATAAAATTATGGTTGTGACATTTGTTGCAGATGCAGTTGCAATGTCGTAATCACATATGTGGATGATACGAACTTTACGTAACACATTGCAACTATCGCAAGCATGTTTTCTTCCTCAAAATTCACAATACTTCTAAAATATTATATTTATATGTTATAATATCGGAATGATAATTATCGACAAACATATAAACACGATCGAAAAACAAAAACAAAGAACATCGGGATTTACGTGAAAACCCCAAAAGGGAAAAACCATGGGCAGAGGAGAAGAATTTTACTAATACGAAGGAAGAAAATACAAAAGGATTTTGGTTAAAGGAAATAACTTGATATCTAACCATTACCCTTAGTATCTATTTATAGGGATAGATACTTGATTACAAAGGAAAACTAAATAAAGTAGAAATCTACTTTAATAATTTTTTTACTTTTAATCAAACTAGGTTTCCTACTTTCCCAATATTTATATATTAATTAATTTGTGCCACTTTAAATTTGAGTCAAACGATAACAATTCTAAGAAAGTGCAAAGGTTTCGAGACAAAACACCCAAATTCGATGTGACACCCAAATTTAATAAAAGCAATTCTTCACTTCAACGAATAAGTTCTCCACCTCTTCCACAACACCTCTCAAAGCGGTAATCTTCAGTAATGGACACCAACCAAATCCAAGCTTTTTCTAGGCTTGGATTTAGTCTTCACATCGACATGGTTATCATAAGTGATGACTTTGCTCACAAATGTTTCACCATGAGCAATATCATGATCAACACGATCCCAATCATTAATGATAGTTCTATCTTCAAATTCATTATGTTCAAGAAATTGAACTCTTTTCTGCTTCACATAACCGTTTTGACCACAATTATTTTGTTCAACAACATTATTTGACACGGTAGATGAAACACCAACTGCATTATCTAAAACTGTTAAACCCTGTAGAATATAAAACTTGATAGTCTTTCTCTGTCCTTTCAACACAACAAGATAGTCCTTGTAAATTTTCATAGCTCCACCTTCAATGAAGAATTTGTACCATTTTGAATCTAGAGTAGCTAACAAAATTAGATTTCTACTCAAATCTATAAAATGCTCACATTACAAAGTGTTCAAACAATCCCATTGAACATCTTAATCTTGATTGTGCCAATACTTGCGACTTTACAAGGGACATTATTTCCCAAAAATACATCACCTATAGAAACAATTTCATACGTCGCAAACCAGTCATGATTAGGCTCATGTGAAAACTATTACCAACGTCAAGTATTCACTCATCACTTGTTATAAAGTTGTCGCCAGCCCCAACTAGGAGTTCTCCGTCATCGTACTCCTCTACTATACCGCCCTCACCAGATTTTCAGAGTTCTACTCTTCAGCTTTTCTTTTGATTTTATTTTGCAACTTGTAACTGACAAGTGCTTAATTTAGTTAACATTTTGCTTTTAAATTACTCCTTAATCATTGGTTTTTGTGGCTTATTTGTTCGCTTTGATTCATTTTTTATGCAGGACATCAGATTCTGGAAATTGCACTTAAAGGACAGAATCCTGCAGTTTTGTTTATTTTCAGAATCAAACTAGTGGGCATAAATTCGGGCATGAAACATCCAACTAGGCGATTAATTCAACACCTTCTAGAAGATACAGTCAGCGTTTCTAAAAGAACAAATGGATTGGTCGTACGTTTTTGGAATTCAGATTTGAATTAAACTCAAGTTTAAGATAATATTTTAAATATTATATTTTATCTTTGTATTTTAGTTTAAATAGATGTTAGTATTTCAATTAGGATTTAGGATAATATTTTAAATAGTATTTTCTTTTATCTTTGTTTTAGGTATTTTTGTTTAAATAGTTTAAGTGTTTTAATTAGGATAAAAGATATTATTTTAGGAATTATCTTTAGCTTTTTTAGGAATTTTAAGGTTATAAATACCCTCTCAAGGTGAGCCTATAAACATCTCTCTCATCTAAGAATTAAATCTTCTTTTTCTCTCTAGTTTTCTCTCTATTTTTCGCATACTTCTTTAATTTTCCTTTAAATTTTGTTTTCAAATATGCTAAGTACGACTTTAGTCATGCTTAGTTAATTTTCTTTTAAACCGAAGGCTAAAGTGAAGGCTCAATTCCAAACGTGAGAATTGTAAGGCACTTAAATCGCTTCGGATTTCTCTCTCTGTTTTCTGAGCTTACTTTTCAAATCAAAACAATTTTCAAAACCAAAAGTTGATGTTGGTCTGGATGTTATTATGGTTAACGTTGGAAGAAGGATTGACTGATTGAAGCACATTCGACTTCTCGAGAACACACTTTACAAAATTGTTTGCTAAGAGGAAACTGAGATCGAAATCAGTTATTGTTGAAACAACTTAATCCGAGTCGGTAGTGAAAAATTGTCCTTCTAAACCGACGTGAATCTTGGAGTAAAGATCTGTTTCGATGATCTGAGGAATTTGCGACAAAGCTGAAGTCTGAGACCGCTTTTACCATAAGTTTTCTTTATCTTAATTTATTTATTTTATTTATTGGTTTATTTAATTTTTATCTCATTATACTTCTTTAAATAATTTAAAATCCCATTTTATCTTTATTACTATTTTTAAATCATTATTTATTATTTTATTATTTCCCTTATTTTATTTTATTTTATTTTATTCTATCTTTTCAATTTCATCTGAAATTTTATCTTC